CCTTATAATTATAAGCCTGAAATATTCCTATAACTTTCAATTCCTCATTGCAGGCTGTGTTTTGTGTGGGCGATGATTCCATTCGACTGCCACCAAATTTCCGTGTAACCAATATATTTATTAATCGTTATTAACATTCAATTAAATGTAAAAAATTATATTTAATCACTTATTTTGTTAGTACATCATTCGTATTGAAGTGTTAATATTATTTTCATGGGAAATAATTTTCGTTTTGTTTTTCATATAAGCTAATTTTTTACTGATTGAAAATTTGCAACTTCCCCTCCAAAGTGAGCGTTCATATTGCGCTCTCCGTTGCAAATTTTACTAGCTTTTTTATTATTGCCCATCGATCGTCAAACAAAACTATTGGGTTCCCCAAAAAGAAACCGGCGAAAGTAAATATCAGGTGTACAACTTTACTTCCGCCGTTTTCCGATAGGTGGCTGTACCGGCTGAGGCTGGTTGAAATACATAGATGATAATGCCTTTAAAGTGAGTGTGGACAGTGCCTAACGAATTGTCATCGCCGTTTCAGTGACAGTTGTTCTTGTTTTCGTATTATTCACGCTCGAAAATGTCCGTTTATGTGCCTAATTCTCGCCATTTGCGGGAAGTTTTACTTTTCTGTTACAATTCGAAAAAAAAATGCAGCTGAAGCGCATCGAATGCTCTCAGAAACTTACGGTGATGCTGCTCTGAGTGAAAGAACGTGTCGGGAGTGGTTTCAACGAATATTCACGGCGCCAAGGTTATGATTTGTATTTGGTGGGATCAGCTCGGTGTGATTTACTACGAGCTCTTAAAACCGGGTGAAACCATCACAGGAGATCGCTACCGAACGCAACTGATGCGCCTTAGTCGCGCGCTAAAAGAAAAGCGGCCACAATATCAAGAGCGACATGACAAAGTCATCCTCCAACACGACAATGCTCGGCCTCATGCCGCAAAAGTGGTCAAAAGGTACCTGGAAACGCTGAAATGGGAAGTCTTACCCCTCCCGCCGTATTCCCCACATGTCGCCCCTTCTGACTTCCACCTATTCCGTTCGATGGCACATGGCCTGGCAGATCAACATTTTCAATTCTTCGAAGAATTGGAAAAATGGATTGCTTCATGGATAGCGACAAAAGAGGACTCCTTTTTTCGAGCCGGGATCCGAAAATTGGCGGAAAGATGGGAGAAAGTTGTCGCTAGCGAAGGACAATACTTTGAATAATATATCCGTAAGCACTTAAGCTTTTAATTTTGGGGAAAAAAACGGCAACATCATTATTCCACGCTCTTGGAATTTCTGGCATTTAACTGCAAAAAACTGAACCAAGTGCTGTTTTATGCTGGTGGAAGATGACACCTTTACGATTGACAAATTCTGGCTGCTTCTCGTTTATAGATGTATTAAATTTGTACAGTTGCCAACAGTAGGCATCCGCATTAATCGTTTGGTTCCTAGGAAGCAGCTAAAAATGCACTACATCCTTCCAAATACACCAAATAGTGAATATCAGTCTAAAGTGGTTTGTGGCGCCTCATCATGCTTTGGCCATTACCGTTTTCGGTGGACGATATTCTAAACAATCCATTTTTCATCTCCAGATATGATTTGCTTCACAAACGGATCATATTCATTGCGTTTAAGATGCATATTACAAGCGTTGAAGCTACTCATTAAATGAATTTCTTACAATTCATTTGTTAACCAAATATCAATTTTTTTTACCAGTCCGAGACGTCGTTATGATTATGAACGATTGATTTTGGTATACGTAACTTCTCTCTAATCCAACGCTCAGTTAAATGACGATCCGATTCGATTGAAGCCTCATTCATCAACTTCACTTGGCCGACGTGAATTTGGCTTATCTTTGAGTGAAAAATCTCCCGAACGGAATTGGCAAATGAGGCCTTATCACCATACAAATTATTACGCGTACTTTTTTTCTAAAGTAACCTATAAGTAGTTCTATTCGTTGACTAAATGGGCAGTAACAATTTTTACTGAACTTAACTCGAACGATTCGTTCAGCCAAAAACCTAGTGAAAATTAGAAATGAGAGAGCGTAATTTCGACGTTTAGTTGGAGAGAAAATTGCAAATTTGTACTGGATAAATTTGATCCAGTAAAAACTACAATAGTAGTTATGAAAAACAGCTGGTTTTAGATTATATGATTGAATTTTTGTCAACAAAAGAAAATTGATTTAAAATTAAAATAATTTTAATTCTTCAGCATGAATTATATACCCACAAAATAAGTGGTTAAATGTAATGTTGTTTGCAATGATTCCAACAGTAGTAAGGGCACTCGTTAAACGAAAATGTGGTGGCAGCAGTGAAGTGGAATCATCGCCCGCACACCATCCAGCTTCCGTTGAGAAATTAGAAGTTAGAAAGGCATAGAATTAGGGTTGACTTTAGTTTGGAGCCTGTAGTTTCTTTTTATGAAATGTTCAGAATTGGAAGTAGAATAATTTATAGACTGGCAACGTCTCCCTAGCCAAGTGTTGTTAGTGTTTTTATAAATAAAATACAAGCAGGCTCCCTGCATATAAAAAGTGTAACTTTAAATGTTGATAACTTTTAAACTATAAATTTGCGCGCGATAAAACTTATATATTTGGTTATTGTAGACCTCCTACTACCATTCCTGACCATTTCATAATGATAAACCACAAGCTCTATACTGAAGTTTTCCCTAGAATTACAATATGTTATTATTTTTTGTACAATGCAAGTTGATTTTTGATTTCTATAATTTACTAGAAACCACAGTGACGATAATGCGTTCTTAAACCTGCGAAAGCGACGACGATGGATGCACAAAATGAAATATTAGTTAGGTTTAGAAAGAAAAATAAAGATGGTTCATAGTTTTTATTTGAACATAATCGATTAAACTCTATAATAATGTTGAAATAATATGGCCGCCTTATACGGAAATAGAATTTCAAACTGATTTTCGTATTTCAGTCACCCTTACTGAAAATCTAAGCATCAAATTGTTGCAATGCTAGTATCTTTGTACGGCTATAAGACATACAGAATTTACGGTTGAAATGCTATAAATTTCGAATACAATTAATAACTTCAAAATGCCACATTATTGCCAATTTCATTAAAACCCTTAGGAAAATACTTAAAACCAGAAATGATAAACTGTATAAATGAACGAATTCAAAATTAACCGCCAAAATAACAGCTGTTGTAAAACTTGCTGGCTAATTTCCACTGGATCCTGTTCGTTGAAAACTCAGTAAACTGCTTTCTTTGCGAGAGAAAGACATCTTGCTCTCTCAATTTCGTTACTAGTTGGTTTTTACTGATATTTCTCAACGAAAACAGCTAGTGACAGCTTATAACTGTCAAAAGAAAGATACAATAAAGTAGACACAAGGGGCGAGATCAAAAACACCAAAATACTTTCTATTGATTTCGCAATCGCATCATTACAATGCAACCCTGCATTCCATAAATTGGCCTTGCAACAATACAAACTCTGACATTTTGGAAGGCTTTTCGTGCAAATAAGTTGCTTATCGGTGAAATGGCTAAAATATAAACAGATCAAAAAATAACTTTTATAATGTTTAAAATAATAATTAACGCAAAAAACTTGCCCTCAGACGTCGGCAGTTATTGCAAAGATGATGCATTTTTGAACATGATACATCGTCAAAGTTTCCATAGTGACATTTAAGAATGGGTGATAATGTATGATTGCTTTGCGACTGACGTTTTGGAACTCACCCAAGCTGTTCAAAAAAAATTGTCAACGTCGTCTGTATGAAAAATCGTCGGTTTCTTTTGGGACAGCCCAATATTTACATGAACATACATATATGTATATACGAGGTGTGACAATTAAGTAATGAGACTGATTCCATAAGTAGTCCCTTAGGTCAGCTATACAACGATTCCAGAGTAACATTTCTGGAACGCTTCGACTGGGATGTCCGCGAGTACTCGGCCGCCTGGATGTGTTCAATAGACTCACAATAAGTTTTTTTGACCACCGATTTTGTTCTAGGGAACAAAAATAAGTCAAAGGGTGACATATCGGGCGAATAAGGACACGTTGATCGCTTTAGAGGCCAAATACTGGAACACGCCTAAGGCGGTGTGGCACGGCGCGTTTTTGTGATGAAGGATCCAATTACGAGCGATGTCTGAGCACACTCTGTTGACTCGTTTTCACAATCTTTCGATTACTTGGCGATAGAAGAGTTGATTTACGGTTTGCACCGGTGGAAGAAATTCTTTGTGGACGATTCCACGGCTATCAAAAAAGGCTATAATAGTCGTTTTTGACGCCTTTCTACGCTTTCACGACCCTCCTTGAACTCTTATGCAACCTGGGCATGACTAAGCGCACTATCGCCATGCACTTTTACAATTTTATCGTACGTTTCCGAAGCCCAATTAGGCGCAAAATTTTTTCGCGACGCGTTGCACTTGATTTCGTTTTTCCATTTTCGTGACGAGCACCACGAACACACGTTTACTCAACACGACACAGCAGGCGGACTAAACAAAAGCTAGAGCGACGACAAATATATCAGTGAAAGGGAGAAGGAGTCCAAGAGAAAAGAAAGGGAATTTCAAGGTCGCAGGGTTACCACAGTTGCGGCAATATAATCAGTCTCATTACTTTATTGTCACTCCTCGTTTGTATGTCTACTTGTGCTCGTCATTGCATGACTAATTTAACTGGAAATAAAATTTAACATTTTTTTTTTGTGAAAATCTTATCAATAAAATATTATCATTAATTAAATATGGATATTTAATATGTAAATGGTGATTTCGTACTTAAATTTCCCATTAAAAAGGTTTTATCAGCAAAAGTTCGAGTTATTACTATTTTTTTTGTTAAATAGTTCAGTTGGACTTTTTCCATTTATCTACGAATTCCAGCTATTCAGATTCTAAACTGATTTTACATATTTTATCTTCTACTACATAATTAATACAACTAATTAATTTATTTAAATTTTCAGAAACGCGCTAAAGGATCGGAACTATTAAATCAAGTATTTCAATTCTTAGAGCTATCCGAAAGGGATTATTTTGGACTGCTGTTTCCACAGAAACCGGGCGATGTTGTTGTCAGTATATTTTATTCAAAAGCAATACGAAATTATTAATATTTTTCTATTTGCAGCGATGGGTGGACGCGCATAAGCAATTCAAAAAACAATGTACTAATCTAGCTCTAGACAACGACGCCATTCAAACGTTAGAATTTAGAGTTAAGGTAATTAAAGCATTCCAAAAGTATAATTTATTTGTGCTTAATGTCGATTTTCTTGATTTTGCAGTTTTTTGTAAGTGATCCGAGTCGTTTGCAAGAGGAATACACCCGATATCAGTTCTATTTGCAAATAAAACGTAATATACTGCTGGGTAGACTGCCATGCTCCGTCAACACACAATGTTTGCTTGCCAGCTATACTGTTCAATGTAAGCAGTGCGGTAAAAGGAAATTAAAAATCAGTTGAAATAAATTTTACTGTTTTTCAAATATTTTCCAGCCGAATTGGGAGATTTCAATCCAAGCGAACATCAGACGGGATATTTAAGCGATATGCAATTGTTGGTCGAACAAACGCCAGATGCAGAACGAAAAATATCAGAATTACATAAATTACATCGTGGCCAATTGCCGGCTGATGCTGAATATAATTATTTGGAGCATGCGAAACGACTTGATTTATATGGAATTGATTTACACAAAGCTACGGTATGTGGAAACAAAGCGGCATAGACGTTCTCTACTTTAGGTGCCATCAAAAAAGGCTACGTTAAGTTTTATTTCAAATTCATTTGTGAAATGATATTAACATTGGAATCTTATGAATATTTGGTAAAGTGAGAGTTATTATTATCAGTTAACCGAGTGATTAGCATTGCATACTGCCATTCGGAGCGCCCGGGTTCAAATCCTGGCGCGACCACCATCAAAAAGTTATAGAAAATTAATTTAAAAAATAAAAAATTAAGTTAAATTTTGTAATTGCGGTGACATCAAATAAAAGCTCCTCATAAAAAACCACCAGCTGTTCAGAGGCGGCTTAGTATAAACTATAGATCCCTCCGTTTGTTGGAAAATATCAATACTCGGCTGAAAATCGCATCAGCGGTTGCAAAGCGCCAATTATTATTAACGAAAAATTACCTTTGGCAATGGCCTCAGACAATAATGTACTATACTTAAGCTTCCAAGAACAATGTTTACTATCAAAAAATATTAGAATTTTGCAATGTTGTGATAAGTTTTCCGAAGAGGCTGCAGTCTGAACTCGTGAAACGGTGCCGGTGATAGAGGTTGTGCGATACATCTGAAAGTGTCGAATCAGAATTTATTTTTAATTTTCAAATCTCTTCTATATGAACAAAAAAAATACCGCAGAAGTTGATAAATCGCAAAAATTTTCGAAATTAAAAAAAAAAAAACACTTTTTTGTGGACTAAAATTAGTTTTATATTACTTTTGTTCAATTTTTTTAGTTCAAGATAAGAAGATAGAAGATAATTTAATACTGACATCGAACATATGTTCTTTTTGTTATCACCGGCAGGGTTTTCTATGGTTTGTAAAATTGAAAACTCGAAAAAAAAGGCGCATGAAAGTTCTGCCCCTTCGTTCGAGCCTGCTCAATGCTCTGCTCCTAAGACTGTTCTAGCTTCTAAAATATATTGAATGGGCCACTGAAATTTTGAAGACAAATTCTTATTTTTGATAAATACCTTTACAGTTGAGAACCAATAAAAAAATTTATAAAAATGCGTGCAGTGTATAAACTGAAGAATATGCATTTTAAAATTCTACAACAACAAGAAATAATTTGCACTTCAAAGTTATTTACTTCCTTTCAGGATTCGAATGGTAGAGATCTCCAGTTAGGTGTATCAGCGATTGGCTTATTAGTCTTCCAAAATGGTTTGCGTATAAATACCTTTTCATGGTCCAAAATGGTTAAAGTTTCGTTCAAGCGGAAAGACTTCTTTATACAACTGCGCAGAGAACCGGTAAATTATAATCAAAACTTTTCATAAAAGCAAATTATTGTTTATTAATAATTTTTTTTTTAATTTTCATAGTCGGAAAGCTATGACACTTTGTTGGGATTTAGTATGACCTCTCATAGGCACGCGAAAGCTTTGTGGAAATCGTGCGTAGAACATCATTCCTTCTTCCGATTAAAACGACCGCATCGTCTTCCTCGTTTTTTAAACATCAGCCTGGGTTCGAAGTAAGTATTTGAGCATGCATCCATGCTCATAATAAACTATAATGTGTCAGTAAAAGTAATACGTTTTCCTTTTTAATGTCAATCATTACCAGATTCTATTATTCGGGTCGCACAGAGTTGCAAGCTGTACAAGAGTCAAAGCAGCGAGGCACGGTGCACAAAGCATTTGTACGTTCACCGAGCAAAAGACTTATAGCAGCTACTGCCACAGGTGCTACATCACCGTTGGTAAACGGCACAAGCGGTTCAGATAGCAATGGAAGTGTTTCACATAATGGTAAAGTCACCTCTACCGCATTGGTAACTCATACGTCCATTTTGACTATTACGAAAACGAGCCGTCCACACGACAATAAAGTAACTTCTAAGCAGACTGAAACAATGCCGCGCAAAGCCTGGGAACAGCAGAGCGATGAATACGATATACAGCTGTGAGTTTGACTTCTTGCCATTCTTGGTTTATCTCTTCACGTACTAAAATTGATTTAATAATTACTTAATAGCGAAACTGGTATTATTGCCAGACGATTTGAGTCACCAATACCACCAACCTACAGTTCTGGCAGCCACAGTCCCATAATGAATACAAATAACACTGCCTCACGTCTCGGTCCAGCAATTACTACACTTATAAATGGCAATTCATCGACAGCACTTGACAGTGGCAGTGATTTGGTGACTATACGCCTACAATGTGATGAGCAGGGACGTTTCGGTTTTAACGTTAAGGGCGGTGTGGATCTCGGATTGCCCGTGCAGGTGTCAAAAGTCGTACCAAACACACCAGCAGATCGGTGTACACCACGAGTATGTGAAGGCGATGAGGTCGTTATGATAAATGGGCGTGATGTTATCGGTTTGCAACACGACCAAGTGGTGGCGATGATACGTGAAAGTCGCAGCCAACGAAATGGTGAGCTACTGCTTACTGTACGTCCGAAGGCAATGCGTTCTGTACTCTCGGAGGAAGAACCATTATATCAATACGTGCCGGAAAACGATGAAATTGGGTCTCATTCAAATTTACTCGATGGCGATGCATTATTTACACAGAGTTTACTGTTGCTGAGCGACGGTTTGGCGTCTGGTGCTCTGCTGGCACAATACGAGCTAATGTATAGGAAAAATCCTGAGTTGGCGATCACAGAGGCACGAAAACCAGAGAACATTGTGAAGAATCGCTATCGCGACATATCACCATGTAAGTCAGCGTTTGTTTCTAAATGTTTATGTTCTTAATTTTTGAATTATTATATTTTTTTTTTGTTTAGATGATTGTACACGAGTTTCGCTTGTAAATTCTCTCACCGGCGATTATATCAATGCCAACTACGTCAATATGGAAATACCCGGCGGTGTGGTAAACCGTTATATTGCTACACAGGGACCCTTAGCCAACACCACAACCGATTTTTGGCGCATGGTGCAACAGGAGAGTAGTCATTTAATTGTCATGCTCACAACAGTTATGGAAGCGGGACGCCAGAAATGTCATCAGTATTGGCCAGTTACGGGCGACGAATTACACTTGGGCGATGGTTTTTCTGTTAAATGCCTCAGTGAGCAAGCGGATGAGACGGGCAGCTTTGTTTTTCGTGAATTTGTTTTATGTGACAAACGTACGAGCGAACAGCGACACATTCAACATATGCAATACCTGGCATGGCCTGATCATTGTGTGCCTTCCGATCCAAATCTCTTTATTGAGTTTACCGAGCGTGTGCGCGTGGCAAGAAATAAAACATTATTGCAAGAAATCGAAGAAAGTTTGAAACAGGTGCGGCTGCTGGATGCCGATGCTGATGAAAATGGTGGCTTGATGAGCGAACGAAAATGCGCTGCCAGTAATGGAGTAACGCCCGAGGATGAGAATCCTGTATCGACCAGTGTTCATCAGTGAGTATTGAATATTTAATAATGATTAATTAATTCGTTTCGTTGGAACATATTCACTGTTGAAACTGTTTTATTTTACAGATGCATCAGTGCTGCAAATCCACCTGTGATAGTGCATTGCTCGGCTGGTATTGGTCGAACAGGTGTTCTCATCTTAATGGACACGGCATTAGCGCTAATGGAAATCAGAGAGCCTGTGTATCCGCTGGATATTGTACGTACAATGCGTGATCAGCGTGCTTGTATGGTGCAGAATGTGGTGAGCATACATGCATATTTCAACGAAATCGAAAGTTTGCGAATATTTAAAATGTTTCTATTTTTATTCAGAGCCAATATCGTTTTGTGTGTGAATGCATTTGTGCTGCATATATGAAATTGTCACGATCTAGTGCCGCCCTTGATGATCTTGGAGACGATTAACGATAATTATAAATATATTATTTATATACCCATATACATATATATATATATACATAGATACATACATATATTGTTAGAAATATAATTCTCTTTAACAAATTCATTATGTGTTGTCCAGGCAGGGAATATACATACATATACTTCCTTTACCCAAGTAGACAGGAAAATGAGCTTAGGCAAACAAACAGATGGTATTGCAAATAACTTTACCTTATATGTACATAGATATTTACATATTTATAACACATACATACATTTATATTTTGTCTTGTTTTATATCGCCAATTTATGTATTATATTTACTATATTATTATGGTTCTATTCTATTGTATAATACCTTTTTTGAAAGACTTTTCGTATGCAACGATAAATACGCATTATAAATGCGCAGTTGCTTATTCACTTCGATACATAAATACATATATACATATATGTATATGCAGGTTCATTTCGTATTGTTTCATACATTGTTCTATGCTAAATTAAAACATGTTTGTTGGCTATTTAAATAGTTAATTTTTTTCGAATAGTTTTACCTATGTCATTTATGCGTTTCAAAGCTACAAAACTACATCTATGTTCATCTAATTCACTTATATAAAACGCGATTGGACAAATTATCACAAGAGACAATTAAATGAAAAAAGGAATTTACACATAAGTGCTGCAACACAATTCTAAATTTTTATTGTACCATATATGAAAATTATAAATTAGTTATATATACATACATATAACCATATGCGCAATATAAAATGTATAAAAAAAATTGTAAGACAAGAAAAAATATTTAAGACTTGAAAATAATTAATTTTCGCTTGTGTAAAAAGTGAAGCACTGTTATTGTGCTATTTGATAAATTTAATAGAAATTTAGAAACAATTTTCTCCAGATGAGCGAACGTCGAATAAAATCATTGCATATAAATTAATTTCATGAGGATACCAATCAATTAGTATTGTAGCACCAAATAAAATATTTATTGTAACCTTGTACTCACAATAATCGCAACTCAGCCATCTCAAAGTAGTATGACTGGTCTTATTTTAGTATAAAAAAAAGAAAAATAAATAAAATACCAACTTAGATTGAAAATAGAATGAGTTCCTTGTTTATTTTATTTAAATTTCAAACTTTTGAATTATAGTATATAATGCATCCTTCTTAGCTTTCAATTTCACCATTTTGCTCGCTAGTTTTATATGACTTAAGTTCTTCGTAGGCCTCTTCAAGCTCCCTACATAACCTGCCATAATTCTCCTGTAAGTCTCGTTCGCGCTGCATTTGCCGACTAACATCCTCTTCTAAAGCCTAAAAACACAGTTGAGACAGTCAGTTAAAACACAAACACAAAAGAATGGAAAAAAATACTAAACGATATGACATAGACTAATTTTACCTCTAATCGCCTTGGAATGGCTACGGCTTCTTGCTCGGCTAAGAACTTAAAAGTCGACAATGCCAATGTATTCTGCTCAATGTGATCGTATGTATCTTGCAACTGTTTGATCATTGCTTGCGCACGTGCTTGATAGCCGCCTGTGAGAATTTTTAATTTTTTCTCTATTTTAGCACAACGTTTCGCCTCCTTTGCCATGTGCCGTCGATTTTGCTCTAATTGTTTCTCGGCTGACTCCAAACGATCCTTTTTGCTTGCCAGGTTAGCACGGGTGTAGCGGTTTTGTGAGGGCAAATAGAGCACTTGACCCAGACATTCTTGCCACACTTGTGAATAAACATCCATTGGTAAATCACCGTGACCCATACCCTCCTTAACGACTGCCATTTCTTCTTTGATTAGGTTGCCCGATTTTTCTAAATCGGATTTTTTGAATTCTTCATATGGATTTGCTTTAAAGTAATTTTGTAGTTGCTCAATTTTGTTTTGAGATTGCCCGGGAACTGGATCCTTAACTGAGTCATATAGTAGCATTGTGATCATTTCATGTTTTATCAACTCTTCAGCCTTTTGCATATCGGTGAGGTTTTGTTTCTCAGATTGTGGACGTAAAATTTTGGTGTTAACTTCAGTGGGTCGCGGCAGTTGACGCTGAATAGCCTGAGAACGCTTTTCCAACTCCCGTTGACGTTTTGCATTTTCTTCGGCGATTGCACGTGCATCAACATCGGCTTGATCCTCGACCGTGTTTTCGGTTTGCATTTCAGTGGTTTCATTGTCATCATGCTCGGGCACAACAATTTCGTAATCATTGCGAGGAGTAGGTAATGTTGCTAAGCCTTCACGTAGTGAGCTTTTCAATTGCTTTTGGTAATTTTTATAAAGTGCCGGTGTATCACCAACATTCAAATTATCTTCTGGGTTGATGCTTAATTTGTCGCGTACTAAAGTTGGTGTTTGGACCGCACCTGCATGTGGGGTTTTGCCAAGTGGTACCAGTGCATTAGACGGTGTAGCAAAACCAGGTGTTCCGTTCTCGCCACCGCGTTGAGTTCTAGTTGATATATAAATTTTAAATTATTACTTTTTAACATAGGAAATACTCACCTGAATGGTGTGGCAATCACAGTGTTTGGTGTTGCAATTGATGCTGACTTTGGTAATGCACCGGAGAAATCAGATTCGTGGAGCGGAGTGTTGACTCCACCTTTTAAAGGAGTGTCTACGTGTGTGAGTGCCATCATGTTTTGAGCTTCTTGCATTATGCGATCGGTAAAAGGTGCCGGAGTACGTGGCGTTGCGGTAACTTGTGGCGTGATGGAGTAATCTGCTAAAAGAGCATCCGTTGTTTCAACACCACTTTCGCCAGCTACTTCCTTGGCTATTTCACTAGCACGCCCTAACTTGACTACTTGTTGTAATTCTTGGTCAGAAATCTGCGGCTGCGGTAGCACTAATTTGGAGCGTTTTCTTTCCGGTTCCAAATTTTGCAACATTGCTAACGGCATGTCGTTCTCTTTGCGTTGTTTCAATTTTTGCTTATCTTTCTTGCGCTCTCGCTCTTCCTTTTCCGATCGCAATTCACCATCAAGATCTTGTTGACGCATTTTATTAAAATCTGGCCCTTGCTTATCGACGACTTCTTCTGATGTGTCATAGAAACCAATAGCCGGTCGTTTCTCAAATGGGATCTCCGCATTATAATCAATGCCTTTAATACGTTTTCTGTTTCCACTGCCAATGCCTGCAGCACGAAGTTCTCTGCGTTTTTGCAATGCGGCCAAACGCCGTGCCTCCTCCAACTGCTTCTCACGTGCCTTACGTTTGGCCTTTTTGCCTTGAGTATTGGCAAGACGAGCACGGGCTTCTGATAACATTTCCAGCTCTAAATACGTAAAAGAATTTATTTGTTATAAATAAGTAGATTGGCATATTGTTTATACAGACCATCTTCGTCCATATCTTTCGGATCGGGACGCGCAGGTTTCGTTTCCGGGTTGGGATCTATTTCACCCGGCTTTAGTTTACGTGGATCGTCAGCGCCGTCCTCGCCATCCTCTTTGCGCTGTGCTTGGTCGCTGTGAAAGAAATTTATTCACACACGAATTATAGAAACGGAATCGGAGAAAACCCGCCGTCCACTTACAGTAAATACTCGTATCGTTCCAAACACTGAGCGGCTGTACGTCCAATGATTGGTGCTATCGTGCGCCATTGTGTTGGCATTAATTTAGCTAAATGCAATAGCTTTTCGTCTTCCTCTCGCGACCATTCGGTCTTTTTAATGCTGGGATCCAACCATTCATACCAACGCGCCTTACATTGCTTAGCTGACTTTCGGTGCAACAGGGATGCGATACGAGACCATTGATTTTTGCCATATTTCATAACAGCAGCTTTAAGGATTTCATCCTAAAAATCGGAATCATATCATATATGCCAAGGACGGACCCAATTCAATCTTACCTCGGTGTTTCTCCAAACACCACCCTTAATCATTATTCGCGGCATTTTTGCTGTTTATTTTATGTCACCCCTTAATTTAATTGTTTGCTATTTACATATATTTTTATTATTATTAATATTATTTAATTTCTTTAGTAAACGTTAATTTACGCGATTTTACCATTAGCCGCATTCGGGTTGTCAAACAGACGAGAGTTGCATTAAAAATCTTGTACTAAACTCGCATTGGTATAGACTTTAAAACTATATTAAATTATAATAAAAATATTTTTATAGTCATTCAGCATATATCTTTTTTTAGTTCAAAAAAATTTGTTGTAACTATCTTGCTAAATACGTCTTTGACTCCGATCACATAGTCAACGACCTATTTTCCAAGTTGTACTCTACTTCAGTATTTTACTTTCCGCCAGCGTGGTCACCAACGGGTTCATTTTGTAACTAACTAAAGCTAAGTTGGCCGCCCTCGAACATACCTCACTGGTTGTACGCATTCACCTCTGGTATGTGTATTCAATACTCCTGCTCTAGATTATGCTTTAGTTATAGGTCTATCCTTCTCCCCTCACATTCGTATTTGGCATTTTCGCACCATATTTATTAAATTTGAAATAAGAAAAGGTAACCGAATACTCAACTTATTTGCTTATGGCTTGACCACACTTCGTATCTCAGCTGTTATTATGTTTGTATTTGCAACGACAAAACGTGAGCTGTTTGATCGATCAAACAATTTAAATAACAAAGTAGGCAGATATATTTTATTTAAATAAAATTCAGAGAACTATTATAACAAAAATTCACAGAGATCAATATGTCATATGAAAGTTGGTTAAATTATCTGCGGTGCGCAGAGAAGCATTCAATGATAAGTGGTCGTTGCCGTAAAATCCACTACAAATTTCCTGATGGACAGCAGATGGCTGAGGAATATAGCATGGACACTGGTATTGTGCAGCGAAGAGCCTGGCGTAAGTGTAAGCAACTTATGGGCGAACCAGAATGGGAAATCGAACTAGGGGAAACATCACGTCAAATTAACCAATGCTTAGGTGGTGGAGATGCTGACTCTTCTATTAACAACGATTTCACACTAGTGGAAAGTAATACAGCGCCAGCACTAACTAAACGTATCACAAAGAAAAACATTGAATGGCGTATTCGAAATTTACCCTATCCCGTGGATGTATATCAAGTCACTGCAGAGCCTGATAAACGTGCCATCGTTGTTCGCACCACCAATAAAAAGTATTACAAAGTAATCACTGTGCCTGAATTGGATCGTTGCAATTTATTGCCCTCCCAGAGTAATATAAGCATACACCATCAGTACAATACTTTGATTATAACATACAGTAAACCACTGTTGTTAAATGAAATGGAAGCACAAGTGTTGCTACTTCTGAAAGATGTTGAAACAGAAACTGATATGGAGGTTTTACTACAAGGTTTATTAGCGAAATAAAAATATATGACGATATACATTTTTCTAATACTTTTAATGAAATAAACTAAAATATATTGTACGTTTAGAATACTTTGAAATATATGATGTATTTTTCTTAATATACATGGTAATGTACTGCGAATTGCACACGAGATCGTCTTATAATTAAAATAGCATAGTTGTAGTTGTTTTTACTCTTTTTGGCCATTCGTAGTTAAATCAGCTAATGTTGGTGTGGAAGCCGCAAATGAACGATATTCGAAAGACGGCAATTCGAGTGGTGTTAATGATGGCAATTCATCGTTGTCACTAATATAGAAGGCCGGTCCATCGCAGGCAGCGCGCACATATTGTGACTGTGTCATTGCTGCATTAGTTAGCATGTTTGGCTTTGTAGTGTGTTGTCCCTCATTGCTGTCAAGAGCATAATTATTAAGGGCTTTGTTTTCCCTACTATTCGTACGCTTTATTGGTGATATATTTAATTTAATATCAAATTCTCGTACTGTTTTATCAATTGATTTGGCTATGGATTGTGCGGTCAAATTGCTGTCAGTTCGTAATAATGCAGCATGCGTATTTGTATCTGATAGTGGTACGATCTCTTTGTGCTTCCAACTTTCATGTTCTTCCTTATGAATTTGTATTTGTTCTAATTTTCGTTCGTATTGCCATTTGTATGTATTCAGTACTTCTCGTGATTTTGGCATTAGTGCCAATTTGAAGGCATCTTGTAAATATATTAATGCAGTTTCTACAGCTTTGTAAGCGTCGTCATAACGATGACGTTGGAGAAAGCGATTTGCACGTCTCTCGTGAAAATGTGCCTAAAAAGAAGTTTTTTTAATTAAAAGTTTTGAGAACAAGTAAATTTGAAATATACTCACCAAATTTAGTGGTGCGTAGTCCATAATTTTCTATATATTGTTCTGCTAAAATATGTCGTAAACGCTGAATGATAGAATTGTATGTGATAAGAATGTTTATTTACGCAGTATAAAAACTTTATGAAAACATCTGTTTGAAAACAGGGTTGCTTTATTGTTCAACAGTGTTGATTTATTGTGTGAATAGTGTTGGAACAAATCATAGATGATTTTATTTGGCATCTCTAGACCAAAAGAACGTATATTAATATTAATATACGCTATTTGGCAAGATCATCGGACTCGGATCTTTTTTTTTCATAATTTATTGAACAGATTGCTTGTTGTTATATTCATTGCGCTACATAATCCTACAAAATACTGTACAATTATTGCTACGCGAGCAAATTATATGTTGTTATTGTAACTACATCCGACTGTTCTCTTTTGTTATTTATTTTTTTCAATTTACTTATTTATTTACTAAGTCTTTTAGTGCAGTAACCCATCAAATGGGATATAAAACTTAATAAAATAAATAAATGTAACTTAATTAGGTCAGTGTGCTTAACAGTTTTGCAACCATTTCTTAAAAATATGTTGTTACATAGAAGGCAAATTTACATGTGTGAATATGTAACTCGTTTTTCTCTTCTAATATTTCATTCTACATTCTTGTTTCATTTATTATTGTATTCAATTTCAGACACAAGTACACCATGATTTATTGGAAAAACTACAAGACACCGCAAATCGAAGAAGTTCGACCGGAAATCGCTTCGGCTGTAACAAAACACCATTATATTTATATTCATATGCTGTTTAAATAAAATAAAACTCAGGTTTCTTCATTTAATTTTAAATTTATTTATAGTAGTTTTATAAATAATTTATCGTATTATGATATAATTTTTGTTGTTCATTCTCTTCTAACCTATTACAAATGAATTTTATTTTAAATATAAATGCTTAGTTTCTACATACAAACTATTATAAGTTTCTAGCGGCCCTTCTTCCAAGTAATGACACAACTCATAACTCGATCATTTTTCTTAAATTTTATATTCCCCTCATCCTTCATTCTCAATGATTTGTATTGATTGCAGCAGCCATAGATTTCAGAAGAATATGTTGAAAATGTGTTTGTTTTGAGTTATAACAAAATTGAAAGTCGGGCTGTAAATCTTGAAATGGGCAGTCGATGAGTGGTTGTTTTTTCAATAAAAATTTACAAAAAAAAAAACTGTTGAGATCTGTGAAAAAAAGATACGACAAAATTTTACATTAACAATAATGTATGAATTTAAATACCTTTACATTCATATTATAACATTTCAGTAAAAAAATTATAATCAAAGAAATTCATAAGTCTAACATATTTTTAAATCATCATTAAATTTTAAAACCAAAAACAAATATTTGAGTTTAAAATATTTACCTTTAAGAGTTCCCAGCAGTATCCTTAAATGTAGTCTACATTAGAGCCAATTAAACTGCAAAAATATAAAAATTATTTTTTTACTTACAGTTTTCAAAGAAAAGTGTAATTACAACTTTGAAAATATCAGAATATTTACACTAATCAAAAATTTTCATAGGTGTCCCAAGGTAAATCGTTATATCATCACAAAAATATTTTTACTACTTATAGGCTGAATGTATACTAACCTAATAAACGCCAATTACAGCATGAATGATGAATCCTAAAGTTAGACACTTAACTGTAAAATAAAAGAAAATAATGTGATTATTGCATTTGCTTATATATCACAAAAACTCTTGCATAGTTTGAAGTTCTCAGCAATTTAAATTTACACTAATCACAGGTTTCATAGGTGTCCCAAGGTAAATCGCTAGATCATCACAAAAATCTCATATTTTCAACTACATTTCCCTATTACAAAAATCAAAATCTATTAATTCACTTACCTCTATATAAATATGTTGAAAATAATCTGCTAAACGCCATCTTTTTGTTGTTGGTATGAATAATGTCGGCTTCGACAACTGCAAGGAAAAGATAAAACTCATAAGCAACAAGAGAAAACTTTTGTACACATCACATAAAAATTAATATAAAAATCAGTTTATAAGTTCGGATTTGTTGCAATCATTAGATGTCAGGTTCTAACATATGTGTCTTTGAGAACAATGGTCATCACGTTAATAATATATATACATTTAAGTGTGTGAAAAATTCAACAACTCACCTTAGAACGCATAACGCGTGCGAATGTCTTCCAGTTTCTTGCATATCTGATTCGGTGTGCGGAACATATCGCTGGCAATGCTCTTTTGTTTGGCCGGATCAATAGACAAGTACTGCTCGCAAAGGTCGCCGTCCAATACATTTTTCACCGTATAGTAGGAGCTGCGATAGCTCAGATGATCGCGTCCACATAACGGTGGATTCTCATTGCGCATGTGCATTTCCAAATGTTGGAAGAAGTCGAAATCTTCGCGACTAGTGAATGGTACGAAAGCGCCCACTGTGCCACTGAGAGTTGCATATATCAATGCCTCAGAGCCACCTGGTATTAGAGTGGCCTTCTGGAGTGACATTACAATTTCCCCAACATGGAAGGATGAAATATTCTCAGACTTTTGTGAGGCACCCGATAACAGACCGCGATCCCATAGCGACTTAGTACCAGTTGGATCTTCGTCCACATCATCGGTAACAGAGTGTGGCAAGCGTTGTATACTCATATTTCCAAACTTATCAGCTATCGCAATTGTGTCATAATCCAACAAAGTAGTAGCAGTGACCCAACGTGGATGTGTATCATCAGCAAATATAATAAGTTGATTTTCAGCGCGTTTATAGCGTATGAAGAACACTGACTCTTGTACATCCGATACATAGACACGATGACCCATTGCCTGTATGTTGACAATTTGATATGGAATGTGTTTGTTCTCACATTTTCTTAGCAACTTTTTCTTGCCCAAGTCGTATATACGCAATATACGACCACAACCGGCCAGCAAACGTCCCTGGAAACCAGCTAATGCGCCAGGCACCTCTTCGATTTCAGTGCGATGCATAAACTCAATATTCGAACAGGTTGGATCGATTTTGTAAATATCAATGCATCCGCCATTTGTTATGCGCGGATTTAGTTGCAATTCCTTAGCTACACCAACGGCCAAATAATAACGACCATCAGCGGCAATGTTGAACTTCAATATACACATGGACATGATTGCCTCATTTTGTACAAGTGGTACTTTGAATAATGTTTGACCATGTATGGGGTCCAAGCCACGTATCTGTGATGCCCACAATCCCAATCCGGCTTTCGGTGAGGAGAATGTTTCCTCAGGCAAAATTTCGCTTATAAATGCATTTGCCATTTCATTGGCCAACTCACGTTCTTCTTCGCCAGCTGCCATGCGCATTTCCTCTGCCATTTGCTGTTTACGTGCATTTTTCGTCTCATCTGTGTAAGCATTATGATCTGTCTCCGCAATAATCATACGTCCTGTATCTGGATGTATGCCAAACGCACGTGGCGTGTATTCGAGCGGAAAGGAGACTTGATTAAATACGGCACCCAACTTTTCTAAAGCCAAAATACGCAAAGTATTTGTTGAGATTGCAACGATACCTTCGCTACATTGTTCACTGGAGAAACCTGAAGCGTATTCTAGAGTTTCATACGACAGAGGTGTTAAATGGAAACGATTCTGATGATAATATGAGAGCCAGGTACGACTTGACATGGCTAATACAGCCTCAGAGCCTTGCATGCGTATACGAAAGAGCTTTACTGGGCGAGAGCCAAGATAACGTGTACGAGTGTCAGCCAAATCGCCCGAAACGGGATCTAGTACAGTACGCAGAAGAACACCATTGCTAAGACCGATATTTAGATAGATAGTGCCTTTTGTCGAAGCGTTGGCGCTGCGTTCACTGGGCTCATCATTTGCACCGCTCGTCGTATTTTCTGTATGACCCATTTCGACAATACAAAGCGACTCAGCAGGCGACGGCAAAGCTTGCATCGAACAGGGCGATAAGCAGTTATTTGGATCCAGAGATATAATGCGTACTGTATTGTCTGCTAAGCCGACAGCTAAAAACCATGAACGCTGCTCGCCCTCTGGCACTTGACCCAAGGCCATGCACATGATTTCATTTGGCATCTCCGATCGCTCTGTGTATTCGTTAAGCTCACCAGTCTAGAAGAAATAAAATTTCAAATTAGCATTCTAGAAGGTTTTAAAAATATACATATTTTTTTTTGCTATGGTCAGCACTGCAGGACACAAATGTGTCTCAACATGATTGTTCTTTATCGTGTTTTTGTCATCAGAATATTTTTAGTTTGATTTTTTCCTATTAAATTAATTGTTAACTACAAATTCACTTACCGCATCCATTTCAAAATAGACCAATTCTCTTCCACTTAGTGTGATGACTACCTGGCGCTGATTTACAGCACATTTTGTGATAGATTTTTTGCCTGGTGCTTTCCACTCATTCACACGCTTATCGGAGCGTATGTGGCGTATACCATCGGGATATACTTGTACTAGGGCATCATCGCCTAGTGATGAACAACTCAATGTAGGCGTTGTTCCCAAGAAACCACTGTCAGTTACTTCCTCAACTGTTTCGCCAATACTCAGCACCAGCGTTGCGTTCACAAATGACACTATAATATAAGCGTCGAACTCATCTGAAAGAAAAGATTCAAAATATTCGTTTGTTTCCTTAATTCACCATTTTCCAAAGAAAATTCAACGTTTTATAAAATATAAATTAAAATATTTTTGTCGACAATGAATAGTCAGATAACCTTAAGTTATAATCAAATAAATTCAGTTGAAACACGGAATAGTAACATCATGTATATTCATTGCCAACATTTCTGTTTTTTTTTTATCGCTTTGTTTAGTATCTGCACCGGTTTTTCTTTAAAACAGCTTAACATTACACTAACCATAAAGTCAGTGATTTCAAGAAGTGTTGCCTTACCTATATTTGTGTTGTTATATTATACAATTCAACTAATTGTACACACGCACAGTTACATGCATGTGTATGTGTATTTCATTAAATCATTTCATTTTTAATTTAATGCACAAGTAACTCGACAGTCTCGCCGATCGGCACAAACAATGCAAGAGTTAACCGCCTGAAATAGAAGAGAACTGGTGTTTGATTTTTATGTTCTTCTAATTTGGATCTTTTGCTTTAAGGATGAAGATCTTATGTATACTAAAGGAGTTATGAGCGGGGTATATGGATGGGTTATTCAAAGGTATAGTGGTATGGTTTTTGTATACATAAGTATCAAATGCACCAGTTTATATTAAAATCTTTGTACAAATATAGGCATATTGCAAGCAATCCGTACAATGTACACGTATTTAACTTGCATTTTCTAGTTTCTTTTGAAAATCTTAATCTATGACACTTTATATACGATATTAACACTAACCGTCAATACGTTTCTTAACTGTCCATACAGCATTCGGGTTGCCGGGCAATTCTGATACAGCCATTTCACTAACTTCCAAGCCATGACGTAGCACACGCATTGAGGAGCGTGGTCCTCGACCACATAAAACATACAATTGAGGTGTATCCTCATTGGCCAAATCGGCAACTTGTGATGAAACTATTGGCGCAAACGAGGGAATTTCATCAACCATTACAAGATTTTTTAATGGACGTGGGGCAAAGAAGAATGTTTCACCCTCTTCAAGGGGCATAGCCGAACTGAATTCAGGTTCATCGTCATCATCGCCAAGATGAGCAATTTGATAGAGATAACTAAAAAAGTAAATTAATTAAACAAATTATTACTTATTATTAGTAAACTTTCACTTACTGGTTGCCAAATTCGCAGGCGACAAATAGAAAACCGGTTTTTAGCACACACATAGCTATCGCCGGCGGTACAGTATCGAAATATTTCAATTTAATTTCGGATACAACATCATCATCAGTTTCGAGTGTAACTTTGAAAATATCACCCTGCTCAGTTTGTACCAAAAAGAAATACATGCTTTTTGTACGATGAGTTGCTGAACAAATAAATATCATACCACGATCGGGATCATCTAAATCATTACGACGACGTGGTATGGGACAACGTATATCATGCTGATCGCCCAAATTTTTATAAGTTAAATAATTCTCTGAACAAATCAACACGCCTGATGGCCCATCATTACCTCCTGGTACGGAAATGAGGAAATTTGCATGTTCTTCCAAAGGTTCAGAGTACTTGCGCACCACATGGTTAAGTCCAAGATCTAATTCGTAGAATGTCAATGTTTGTTGAGTACGTTGAGCGGCTTCACCTGTAAAATTATACAATTTTAATTGCAAAGAAAAACAGCACAAAATACATTTTTATTACACAAAGGTGACTGTTAACGTCTAATCAGTGAAGTATTCGCAAATAATTTAATTCCAAATACCAATGGTTCAGAAGTTAAATTTTTATAGCACTTTGCCAAGCCAGATAAGTCGTAATGATGTTACTTATCTGGCATGTCTAAAAAGTGCAGATAAAAAATTTTCAATAGGTATAAAAATGATATAACATTTAAATTAAATTATGTTAAATTTGTTAGCGACATATCAGTGAAGTATTTGCAAAATATTTCAATACAAATACCAATGGTTCAGTAGCCAATATTTCTTTAGCACTTTGCCAAGCCAACTGAGAGGTATTTGATCCTCTCAACTGGCATGTCTAAAAAGTGCAATTAAAAAGTGTTGTCATCTATTATCTTACCTGTTGGATCATTATCAGCCTCCTCGTAATCGATTTCTAAGCAAGCGAATAAAGGATTGTCGAAACCAACATCAACACCGACCATGTGGTATGTTAGCGTGTTGGACTTGTGGGCTTCTAATGGTGATGAAATTGTGAGACGTGCTTGAGTGTCACGATTCAGAATGTAAGCTAATTTTTGCTTTTCCACTGCACCAATCATAACTGCACGACCTTTTGGGTCAATGGCAAAATATTGGCCCGGCACAATACGCCTACATCCCGATTTGCCAAATGTTTCTTGATGTACTTTATCCAGCGAGTTTTTTGTAGGATTATACTCTAGTATAACAATTCGACCAGAGTCAGAACCAACAACTATATAATCTATAAATTAAAGAAGTTTTTTTTTATTATTAGATACTAGTTACTCTGTCAAGTAAGTTTTATGTTGTTTCTCAGAGTTTCAGTTCGATATGGCACAAAACCATATCAAATGCGACGCCAAGTTTTTTACTATTGCACATAGACTAGTTATGGAGGAAGTCTTATTGAAGTTTTCAATCAAGTAATGAATCTTCAATAGGGATTCGTGCGAAAATAAAAAAAAATTATATAAATGTGATTTGACTTACCTTTGGTGCCACCAGTCAGTCTGAACGACATTAATGCACGTATACAGCCAAAAACTTCTACGGACAGTACGGTATGGACTTTGCCCGTATTTGAATCTGGACGTACCAATTCAAGCGATTTACCACGCGAAAGTATAACCTCTTGGTGTTTACCACCCGAGAAGTTTCCGTGCACAGCATGGGTAACGCCAGTGCCTTTTTGCAAGGTTAAATTATATAAATACATCTTGTATTACTTCCACTAAAAGGAAAATATGAAAAAAAAAACAATTAGGTCACCTTTCAAAAATATTTCAATATTAAGTATTTTAGGAGACTCATTTGTCCTACTCTGGAATACCATGGTTACAGTATGGTAATTCGGTGTAACCTAACGATGCAAATGAGTAGCAAATTTCGTTTATTTAGCACGTTAAAAATTGCGACCAAAGCACAGACATTTCTGTGTCCCTGGAGATACATCGTGCAGACGCGACAAAAATTAAAAATAAATGATTTTTTAGACAGATTAAATACTGATATAATACCTTTCGTTCAATTCTTGCAAAACTTATTCATTTGCAATGGGATGTACAGAGATTTAGCTGAAGTATAGCAGCCATTTTTTTTAACAATTCTCCGGAAACATTTTCACAAAGTATTCCCCACGGAAATAAACCTTTCTCATCGACGAACGGAATTGAAATGAACGAAAGACCGGCAGAAGAAGCTAATGAAAAAGGATGATCATGAAGTTGGCTACAGTTTTCGGAGATGCCAGCCCAAAACAATAAGTTTTTTTGACATTCATGTAAGGATATCAATTGGAAAGCTGTTCATCAATTCTTTTCCAATTTCTTTAAGCATTTCAAAAAGTTTTATATTATTGATACAGAGGTCATAATTCGTTGATCCCATTTTGTAAATGATTATGACAAGTATTCTCACAAACAAAAACTTGCAACCACATTTCTGGCCTTTTACTGTCAAAATTACAGTTGATAGGCAAGCGATGATCGCTTTATGAGATGTGAAGTATGCGATACATTTTTTTGTTGTTTCTGGGCTACATTGGTAAGGGACTGTCCCATCCATGAGCAATAGTGCAAATCCAAAGAAATTTAATGCAATAAACTGAAACAGAATTAATAGAAAACAAAATTGTTCAAGCAACGGTTGTATGTAACGACATAAAATTAACGAACTTTATTAAATCTTTTAATCGATATGAATATGCCTATTTGTGAAAAATTCGACCGTCACACATTCCTTAAATGGTAAAAATTCCAAAGAAAGCTCATGTCTGAAAAGTATGACACGGTTTCTGCTGGTTTCTATGGCTGAAACGTCTATTAAGCCTAAAAACCTTTGAAAATCATAACGCCTAAATATAATGGTTTGCCTTGTTGGCAAAATTAACTTAAAGTCGTATTTTTATCTAATCAATAGTATATCCCCAAATTTCTATAGACAATAGAGACATGAGGTCCATACCCTGTCGTTTAAAGAATATAATTGCAAATTTTGAATATATAACGGCTATGTGCACGCAAGCGGTACCTACCCTAATGGAGAGAACGTGGAAAGCAACTCTGCAAATTATTGCTTTGCCAAGGCGAATTTAAAGAACGCGTGATTTCGCCAATCAGAACAAACGCCGCTTTTTATCAAAAACAAAAATATTTAATTTTTTTGATTAAAAATGAGTGCTTCTCCAGCGAAGAAACCAAAATTTGCTAATTCTAAACACAAGTTTTATGCCAAACAGAATAAGCGGTTATACTTGCAGGCAGGACACCGTGGATTTATGGCCACTTGCAATTTCCGTGAAAGAGATTGTTTACGTGAAGCTTATAATCTGCTCAACCACTATGCCGATGAGTTGTATGGTCCGCCCGAAAAGAACGAAAAGGATCCGGCATTGGACGATGCAGTTGAGACTGAAGAAAATAATGATATAACAGACGATTTACAAAGAGAGGTCGATGCTACAAAAGTAAAAAAACAAAATAGGGATTTGGCTAGACAACGTTTTCAAGCCGTGGATACAGGAGCAACAAATTGCATATTTGTACGCACTTCTTTACCAGACCCAGTGGAATTAGGCGCACGTATTATCACCGATATTGCACGAACGCGAGAGCAGAAAACTCGTTTCTTGCTACGATTAGTACCTGTAGAAGTGGTGTGTCGCGCAAATATGGTAGATATTAAAAACGCTGCTGGTGAACTGTTTGATAAGTATTTTTTAAAAAAGGGCACCACATTTGCCATTGTTTTCAATAAACGTTACAACAATGACCTGAAACGTGATGATATTATACGTGATCTAGCAGCACTTGTAGAATCAAAGAACATAAAAAATTCTGTAGACCTTAAGCAAGCCGAAAAAACTATATTGGTTGAAGTGATAAAGGGGTTGTGTTGCATATCGGTACTGGATGGATATTTGAAATATAAAAAATTTAATTTGGTAGAATTGGCAAATGGTAAGGAAAATAACTCGGCGGAACCAAAAGATAGCAAGGACAATGGAGTAATATCGCAAGCTACTGAGGCCAATGAAACGGAAGAGAAGCAAAATACCGTGGAAAACGATACTAAACAAAATACAGATAACAAATCGTATGAAAAAGATGATAAACAAAATATTGAAAACGCAAAACCAGGTAGCTTAAATGATAACAATGATAAACGGGTTGCTGAATCCGATAATTTAGATAAAAAAGCTGAAGCAGCAAAGTAAGAATAAATTGAAAAGTGGGAAACTGATTTGTAATGAAATATTTTTTAGTTTTAGTTAATTTGAAGAAAAAGTAAAGTTTTTATTTTATTTTTTATAATATGTATGTACATAGTACATTTCTAACTGAATTTAGAGCAACAATTGCATAATTTATTTATTTTAAGCAATACAACTGCTGGATATAAATATGCATTTTTATAATTTTCATTTAACATTTTTGTACAGACAAGTAAATGAATACAAAATTTATTTTAATTATCTCCTTTCGAAAATTTATTTTAATAAATGAATTCAACAAAACCATAATTATAGTCAAGATCACTTTATATACTAACTATTTAAACAAAATGTGTGCTCATACGCTCTTCAATCATATAATATTTTTCGTTGCACAAAAAACAAGCTAATTTGTTGCCTTACATTTAAGATCGTTTCTTTAACAAAATTCCAACAGTTGATGTAATATTCTCATAAACCATAAACATGAGTGCTGCTGTTAACACAGTTTGCAATATTTTTGCTTCCAAACCACGAAATAGTCCTCTAAAACCATAATGCTGTATTATACTCAGCATTATTTCCATCATATTAGCATCATTTGGAATAGGATTGATCGATGTCGACGGCTTATTAGCTTGTGTAGTATTGGCACGATGTCGTTGCTTTGTCTGTACAAGTTGCAACGGATAGGTGAGTACTGTGGCAAATGCTTTGGCGAGTGCTCCTATCAAAAAATATCCTAAGCTCGATATTTCAGAGCCGGTGAATTTCATTAGATTACGCTTTAGTAGTTCGTACATCATGAATTGTAATGCTGGGTTAGATACCAATATTAGAGATGGTATGGTGCCGGACCATAAACCACGGAAGCCTTCTGTCTTAGCGACGTATAAGATGCCACTTATCAAATTTTTATAATGTTTATTAACGTCGTCTGAAGTTCCGGCCACATTACGCATACGTACACGTGTGTTAACCACCCAAAAAGGAGTGGTACAAAATACATTTAAAACACCGGCGATTGAGCCCAGTAAAAGATCTTTCAAAGCAGACTGTTGGCTGTTATTGGCAGTCAGAGCTTTTAAGCTGTAGGTGAAAGGGAATTCTTATAAAACTACTGAACTATGGTAAAATCAAACCAACCTGTGAAATGTGTAGAAATAAACAAAATTGGATATACAAAGGCTTTGAAGAACTGGACCCAGGCCACGATAGAGGGCTGGAAAACCTTCACGTGTAATTATCTCTTTAATAACTTGAACTGTACTACGCGCTTCTCTAATCTTTTCTGGATCCTCAACTACAAATTATTAAAGTCGAATTATTTTTCAAAATGTATACGCATATGAGTAATATTATTTACATTTTTAACCAGTTTATGTTATTGTGATAACGCCTTGCGAAACCCCCGACTCGAAAGTCGGTGGACAAAATTTAAAAATATTATCAATAAAACCTATTACTAAACTTACCTACACTTGAAATAAGGCACCTTAGTCTATTTATATATAAAAAAATTGCGACATTTGTCCATAAGCATAAACATATAGGTACATTTGCACCAGGACAAAGGTCAAAATACGTGCGAATTTAACTTACGTTGTAAACGCGACCGCACCGTGTCAAGTGGATAGAAAGTGCTCATCGCAATGCAGCCACCCTGAAAATTGTACAAAATATTGTTTAGGTTGTAGCTCCATCTTTTATTAGTAATACACTCACCGCTGCTCCAGACACGGCATGTATCCAAGATTCATAGCTGAACACTTGACTCAACTTCGATTGTCCACCCATAATACACCAAAAGTTTTATTTTCAGCCAATTGAACTTTAGACGTTGTTTTTCATATTATGCGCAACTAAGCCCAATTTATTCGCAAATACGTTCCGTTGCTGTGGTGTGGTTAGCACGGTGTTCTGGTCACTGCAACTGAACCGCGCACCAAAGCTTATTTTCTTCAAATAAATTAGCTTAATGAAAGCATCGTCTTTGTAGTAAACTTCATATATACATGTGTACATATATAGGTAGGTCATTAATTCATACATACATACATATATTTATGACATTCTCTAGTGATAGTGATCGGATTAGATTAAGGGTTGAAAACTAACAAAATACTTACTGAATTTTGGAATTTGAGAAATAAAAACAAAACGTAAACGTCTTTGAATGATTCTTCTTTTGAATTTTCGAAAAATAATACTCAATAATCACATTGATTGTTTTATTAGAATTTTGTTTCCTATGAAAAAATGTAAACAGAAATGTATTATCATTGCAACAACAAACTTCCTGGTTTTAGTTTACCGGCTGTTCGGTCAGGGTGACATTGCAGTCAGTACAGGGTTGCAGAAAAATAGTATTAATTGTATTTACCTTAAGTCTGATGAGCAATATCGAAATTCAAATTCATTTAAGTTGATGTTAAATATATTTAAATATTAAATGACTATTCGCTACGTAAAATAATTAAATTAAAATAACCCATTGTATTAATGAAATAAAAAAATTTTTTAATTTTTGACGAGCTCTCGGATATTTTTCTCTAGATTGACTTACGAAGTTTTCCCACTTATGTACATAAACATCTCGTTCTTTATCGGCATAGGTGACGCTTACGCAATTATAGCCAAATCGGCAATTCCGTCTGATTAATCCCTTCTTTTCGCTGTTTGTTGCCAGTTGAAGAAATCAAGTGAAATCAAAACGCTCCCCACCTGATCCTTTCTTTTGCACTGAATCGAATACTTTCAAAGGTGTAGTGCTTTCATCCATTCGGACGACATGAGACCTACTAGCCATCGTAATCGCTGTATCTCATTCGCTTAACTATGACAATGCGATCCTTTAAGGCCAGGTACCTCTAAAAGTATTTCAAAAATTAAAAAAAAATTAAATTTTGGTATTTCCTATAAATTGATAGAAAATACTCTTTGAAATAATATAGAATTAGTCCCGAACGTCCGCAAGACCAAGAAGTAAGTATAGAGGGGAGAGCGGAAAGCGGAGGGACAAGCGGTGAATCCGACCGTTTGGAATTTGGCCTTAACTCGAACGGCGTCTGCGGTATTCCCAATTGCCAACACGCAAAGGACCATTAAACATTTGCAAAACTTTTCTCTCGAAGACTCCTAAAACCGATTCATCAGTTTTGACATCGTCCTACGTATTCATATATTTGTACGTGTATATAAGCTTGCATCAAACTCTTGCGACACCTACACATTAATGCGCTAACCTTGGAAATTCAGTTTTCACATCGCAATGAAGTTGATATGTTTGATTTATTTCTCCTTTTTTTTGGGAGGAAACAGTTGCCTTCAGCAATTTCTACAATTTTCCCTCCGAATTTGATTTTTCACACACAAGAGCACACACATACATACATGTCCACCTTATTTTATATTAACGACATATTAAATAACAAGGCGATTGTGAACCCATCAGTCACTGTCCTCTCTTGAGGCCAACACGCAAACCTAAAACAATCATATACAACAACTAACACACACCTGTACGAGTGTATAGGAGTTCACCAGCGTGTATAGTGTGAGACGATTGCAAGCCAAAACACGAATCTCCATATTGCGCTTCCCAAACGCCCTGGTGGCTGCGCATGAATAATGCTAATTAAGCTCATCTTGCGGACTTTATTACAAAAATGTTATTATAGTTTATTTCTAGCGCATTATAGCAAACTGGAAATGAAAAAAACACTGATGTGCATGTAACAATAAACATACAATAATTTATGCGAAACGGATATTCAGCCAAATTGAGTTATGGAAAAATATGAAATGTAACCAATTATAAACAAATAACGAATTTGAAGTGATTTTTTTCAATAAATATATAATTTTTGTCGATTAGTAAAACTAAAATAAAATAAAGTAGATTAAAATAAACCAAATTATAAAATAATAAAATAAAAAACTATCATATAACAAGAAAAAATTAAATAAAATATAATAAAACAAGAAAATAAAATAAAGTAAAGTAAAACGGAATAAAATAAAACAAAGAAAAAAACCAGAATAAAGTAAAATAAAACAAAATAAAACAGAATAATATAAACTAAAATAAAATAAAGCAAAATAACATAAAAAAATAATTTATAAAAAAGATAAAATAAAAGAAATTGCAATGAAATAAAGCAAAATAAAATAAAATGAAGTAAAAGAGAAAAATAAAATAAACTACATCGACATAAATTATAATGAAATGAAATGAAATAAAAAAATATAAAATAAAATAATATAAAATGTAATAAGATTAAATAAAATGAAATAAAATAAACAAATAAAACAAAATAAAGTAAAATAAAAGAAGTAAAATATTCAAAATAAAATAAATGAAAATAATATGAAATAAAATAAAAAACATAAAATTAAAAAAAAAAAATGAAATAAATTTAATTAAAATAAAGTCATATAAAATATAATAAGATGAAATATAATAAAATAAAGTATTATAAAAAATGTAGTACAAAAAATTTTTAAAAATAATACAAAAAATCAAATAAATAAAATATCATAAAATAAATGAGCTCGCATACAGAAAATAAACAAATATGATTATTGAGCACATTAACATACATATATATATGAAATAAAAGCTTCTCATCATCCATCAGCCGTTCGGAGGCGAAAACTGTAGGCGCACCCTGTTGTTGAAAAAAGAAAAGAGAGGCGGACCTCAAATTGCAGGCCGGATAAAAATCGCTTCAACGGTTATAACCATAAAATTAAAATAAAAAATATAAGTAAAATAAATTAAACTCAAATAATATTAAATTAGATAATACGAAATATAGTCGTATAAAATAAAAAAATCAAATGAAATAAAATTATTTAAAAAATATATTATAATATTAACATAATTAAAAAAATTAAATTAAATATATATATGTTAGTTTCTAATATTATATTTTGATCCTCAGCGCTTAATTTACCGTAAGTTTGTTGAAATTTCTTAGAGGTAAAAACTAAAGACTTAAGCAACAAACTGTTCTTGGCAATTCTTGTTATTGTTGTTGCAGTCCTTATTTAGGTGCTTTTGGGCAAGATCACATGAAAAATAAATCCAAAAATAGTAGTCCACCTTAATATCTGAGAAAGTATCTACATACATATGTACACAAACGCACACAATGGGTTAACAGCGTAGGGTGTATACTCGTACATCAACCTAATTATATTCAACCAGCGAAGGCAATGAACTAACCAAAGTTAATTACTTTTCATTTTATATTTTAATATTTGCTGCTAATGCGTCGCCGTTTTTTGTCGGCTTTGTTAACACTTACGAAACGGATTGTACAAACACAGCCACAAATATTTACTTGTACAGCTACCCATATACATATGAATGTATGTATGTATGCAAGTTGAAAACATAAAATAAAACTGAGATAGGCGTCTGTCACAATACCCGCTACAATACCGTTTGTGGTGCAAAGCTGATGCAAACGCGACTGCAGCAACAGAAAATCTTAAAAAACTGTAAATCTACAGAGCTTTTATGACAATGAAGTGCACATTGGTTAGGCAAAAGAAATAAAATTATAAAAAAAATATATAAGAAATAAACCGCCGTCATTATTTGTGTATTTAAGTAAGCGTACAGTAAAAGTCATTGAGGTTAGCGCAGTGCGGTGGGGAAATGCAATAAAGACAAACCAAGCAACACTGACTTGACTAGGCCTTGCAAACACCAGCGTCATGGTGTTCATGTGTGCCTGTTTGTGAATGTCTGCGTGAGTAGTTTGCGCCACTCAAGCACCAGAGCGCCATATGCTTCATACAACTTTCGCTTTCTTCGATGACGTAAACACAAGAAAAATGGCTCAAATCATTATTTTGTGTGCAATATTTACATACACAAATGTAAATGTATAGACATATACATATATGTACATATATACTTGTAGTTTTACAAATTTGTGCATGGACATTCAAATGAATTTTAAAAAAGTAAGAAACCTCGTTTTTGGCGTTTAAAATATTAGTAACACATGTAACCGATTTCAGAAATAGCTTCTAGATAATGAGCACATACATACCTGTATGTAAATGACAAATAAAATGAAAAAAGAAAAAGAGTAAATAAATCAAAGAACATAACGTAAAATTAAAAAAAAGAGTAAACTAAACGAAACTAAATTAAAACAAAATCAAGAAAAATAAAATAAAATTATATAAAATAATATAAGATAAAATAAAAAAAAAAAATAATATAAATTGAAATTAAACCATATAAAATAAAATAAATTATACTAAAATAATACTAAATAAAATAATACAAAAAACAATGATATGGATTAAAAAGTAATGAAATACATAAAATAATTTAAAATATATAATAAAATAACATAACAAAAATTAAAAACATAAAATACTAAAAATGAATAAAATAAAATAAAATAAAAATAAAAGAAAACAAAATAACAGAAAAATAATAATTAAACCACAATAAAATGATGTAGATAGCTGATGAATAAAATAAATTAAAAAATGAAAAGACAAATATTTCCTGCGGCAGGGACTGTCAATCAAGTGCATTTCTGACATGAAATCAAAGCTTCTCATCATCCATCAGCCGTTCGGAGGCGAAAACTGTAGGCACACCCTGTTGTTGAAAAAAGAAAAGAGAGGCGGACCTCAAATTGCAGGTCGAGCAAAAATCGCTTCAACGGTTATAACCATAAAATTAAAATAAAAAATATAAATCAAAAAAATTAAACTCAAATGAAATTAAATTAGATAATACGAAATATAATGGTATGAAATAAAAAAATCAAATGAAATAAAATTATTTTTTATAAATATATTATAATATTAACATAATTAAAAACTAAATAAAATAAAATAAAATAAAATAATAAAAATAAATAAAATAAAATTAATTAAAATACAATAAAATGAAATGAAATAAAATAAGATAAAACGAAATAAAACAAAATAACACAAACTAAATTAAACCAAAATAAACAAAGTTTATAAAGTTTAATAAAATACAATAAAAAGAAATAAAAATATAACAAAATAAAAATAAAATTGAAAAAAAAAATAATTTAAAATAAAGTAAAACAACATGAAAAAATAGAAATAAATAAAAGAAAATAAAACTAAAATAATATAAAACAAAAAAATAAAAAAAATAAGATAAAACAACAAATGAAATAAAATAAAATAGAGAAAAAATAAAATAAAATAAAGTAAATAAAATAAAATAAAACAGAATAAAATAAAATAAAATAAAATAAAATAAAATAAAATAAAATAAAATAAAATAAAATAAAATAAAATAAAATAAAATAAAATAAAATAAAATAAAAAAAAAATAATTTAA